AGGGTCACACAGGAGTACCATTAGAGACACACAGTAACACCACCAGGGTCACAGAGTAACACCATCAGGGTCACACAGTAGCACCATTAGTGTCAAACAGTAACACCATCAGAGTTAAACAGGAGTTCCATCAGAGTCACACAGTAACACCATCAGGGTCACACAGGAGTACCTTCAGGGTCACAATAACACCATCAGGGTTACACATTAAAACCATCAGGGTCACACAGGAGTACCTTCAGGGTCACAGTAACACCATCAGGTTCACACAGAAGTACCATCAGGGACACACAGTAACACCATCAGGTTCACACAGGAGTACCATTAGGGTCACACAGTAACACCATCAGGTTTACACAGGAGAACCATCAGTGTAACACAGGAGTATCATCAGAGTCACAGAAACACCATCAGGGTCACACAGTAACACCATGAGGATCAAACAGGAGTATCATCAGGGTCACACAGTCACACCAACAGAGTCACACAGGAGTATCATCAGGGTCACACAGTAACACCATCAGGGTCACATAGTAACACCATCAAGTTCACACAGGAGTACCATCAGGGTAACACATTAACACCATCTAGGTCACACAAGAGTAACATCAGGGTCACACAATTGCACCATCAAGGTCACACAGGAGTATCATCAAGGTCACAAAGTAACATCATCATATTCAAACAGGAGTATCACCAGTCTCACACAGTAACAACCTCTGGGTCACACAGTAACACCATCAAGTTCACACAGGATTACCATCAGAGATACACATGAGTTTCATTAGGGTCAAACGGTAACACCATCAGGGTCACATATTACCACCATCAGAGTCACACTGGGGTATCACCAGGCTGACACATGAGTATGATCAGGGCCAGACAGTAACACCATAAGGGTCACACAGTAACTCCATCAGGGTCACACTGTAACACCATCAGAGTCACACAGGAGTATCATCAGGGTCATATAGTAACACCATTAGGGTCACACAGTAACACCATCCTGGATCACACAGAAATATCATCAGGGTCACACAGTAACACCAATCTGGGTCACACAGTAGTATCATTAGGGTCACACATGAGTATCATCAGGGTCACACAGTAACATCATCAGGGTCACACAGGAGTATCATCAGGGTCACTCAGTAACACCATCACGTTCACACAGTAACACCATCAGGACCACACAGGAGTACCATCGGGGTCCCACAGTAACACCATCAGGACCACACAGGAGTACCATCGGGGTCCCACAGTAACACCATCAGGACCACACAGGAGTACCATCAGGGTCCCACAGTAACACCATCAGGGTCACACTGTAACACCATCAGAGTCACACAGGAGTATCATCAGGGTCACACAGTAACACCCTCAGGGTTACACAGTAATATGGTAAGATTTACACAGTAACACCATCAGAGTCACACAGGAGTATCATCAGGGTCACACAGTAACACCATCAGAGTCACACATTAATACCATCAGGGTCACACAGTAACTGCATCAGGGACACACATGAGTATAATCAGGGTCACACAGTAACACCATCAGGGTCACACAGCAACACAATTAGGACCACACAGGAGTACCATCAGGGTCACACAGTAACACCATCAGGGTCACACTGTAACACCATCAGTGTCACACGGAAACACCATCACGGTCACACATTAATACCATCAGGGTCACACAGTAACTGCATCAGGGACACACATGAGTATAATCAGGGTCACACAGTAACACCATCAGGGTCACAAAGGGAGTATCATCAGGGTCACACAGCAACACAATTAGGGTCACACAGGAGTATCATCAGGGTCACACAGTAACGCCATCAGTGTCACTCAGTAACACTATCAGGGTCACACATTAAAACCATCAGGGTCACACAGCAACTCCATCAGGGACTCACATGAGTATCATTAGGGTGACACTGGAGTATCATCAGGGTCATACAGGAACACCATTAGGGTCACACAGTAACACCATCCTGGGTCACACAGGAGTATCATCTGCATCACACAGTAACACCATTCTGGGTCACACAGGAGTATTATTAGGGTCACACATGAGTATCATCAGGGTCACACAGTAACACCATCAGGATCACACAGGAGTACCGTGAGGGTAATATAGGAATATCATGAGGATCATACAGTAACACCATGAGTGTCACACAGTAACACCGTCAGATTCACACATTAACACCATCAGGGTCACACAGTAACACCATCCTGGGTCACACAGAAGTATCATCAGGGTCACACAGTAACACCAATCTGGGTCACACAGTAGTATCATTAGGGTCACACATGAGTATCATCAGGGTCACACAGTAACACCATCAGGGTCACACAGGAGTATCATCAGGGTCACTCAGTAACACCATCACGTTCACACAGTAACACCATCAGGACCACGCAAGAGTACCATCAGGGTCCTACAGTAACACCATCAGGACCACACAAGAGTACCATCAGGGTTCCACAGTAACACCATCAGGTTTACAGAGTAACACCATCAATGTAACACAAGAGTTTCATCAGGGTCACACAGGAGTACCATCTGGGTCACTCAGTAACACCATCAGTGTCACACAGGAGTACCGTCAGGGTAATACAGGAATATCGTAAGGGTCATACAGTAACACCATCTGGGTCACACAGTAACATCATCAGGGTCACACATTAACAACATCAGGTTCACACAGGAGTACCATCAGGTTCACACAGTAACACCATCAGGTTCACACAGTAACGCCATTAGGAATACACAGTCACACCCTCGGGGTCACGCAGTAACACCATCAGGTTCACACAGTAGTACCATCAGGGTCACACAGTAACACCATCAGGGTCACACAGCAAACACCATCAGATTTAAACAGGAGTACCATCAGAGTCACACAATAACACCATCAGGGTCAAACAGGAGTAATATCAGGGTCACACAGTAACATTATCAGATTCATACAGGAGTATCATCAGGGTCACACAGTAACACCATCAGCGTCAAACAGGAGTAATATCAGCGTCACACAGTAACACAATCAGGTTCACCCAGGAGAACTATCAGAGTCACTCAGTAACACCATCACTTTTGCACAGGAATATCATCAGGGTCACTCAGTAACACCATCAGATTTACACAGGACTACCATCATGGTCACACAGTAGAACTATGAGGGTCACACAGCAACACCATCAGGGTCACACAGCAACACCATCAGGGTCACACTGTAACACCATCAGGGTCACACAGGAGTATCATCAGGTTTACACAGTAACACCATCTGGGTCACTCAGTAACACCATCAGGGTCACACAGGAGTACCGTCAGGGTAATACAGGAATATCGTAAGAGTCATACAGTAACACCATCTGGGTCACACAGTAACATCATCAGGGTCACACATTAACAACATCAGGTTTACACAGTAACACCATCAGGTTCACACAGTAACACCATCAGGTTCACACAGTAACACCATCAGGGACACACAGAAGCATCTTCAGGATCACACTGTAACACCATCATGGTCACACAAGAGTACCATCAGGGTCACATAAGAACATATGAACATAAGAATGGAGGAAACTGCAGTGGGCTTATTCTCCTCTGAATTTTTCTCGGGATTCTATATCCACTCTGTAGTACGGTGACCTTCTGGTCACCGTACTATATAATCCAAGTAAGGTCTCACATGCGAAAGATATAGTTTTAAGATAACCTCTCTAGTCTTGTAACTAACACTCCTTTGTATGAACCCAAATATTTTATTAGCTTTGTTTCGAGCAAATACACATTGTTTACTTGGCTTAAAATTCCTACTTATCTTTACTCCTAAATCTTTTTCACAGTTTGATTTTTCTATAACATTGCTGTTCATCTGATATCTGGTTTCTCCGTTTATATCTAGACTAAATACTCTACATTTGTCCACATTGAATTTCAGCTGTCACTTTTCAAACCATTCGATTTTTTTTAGATCTTCTTGTAGTTTTGCGGAGTCCTCGCCAGATTTAATTATACGCCCTATTTTAGTGTCATCAGCAAATTTACTTATGTTGCTGCCTACGCCGATATCAATTTCGTTTATGTATATAATAAATAATAATGGTCCAAGTACTTAGACTCGGGGTACTTCCACTAGTGACGTTACTCCAATCGGATTTAGTGCCGTTGATGATCACTTGCTGTTTCCTGTCCTGTAGCCACGCCCTAGTCCATTTTGTAATATCTCCTCTAATGCCATGATCCTCTACTTTTCTTATTAGTCGTTCGTGGAGGACTCTGTCGAAGGCTAAAGTCGAGATATACCACATCATAGTCGTGCCTGTCGTCCACTAATTCGAAAACCGCTGAAATTTTTTTAATAGATAGTCAGACATGAACGCCCGCTTGTGAAGCCAATTTGGGAATCATTGATCAACTTGTGCTTCTCCCGGTGATTTCGAATAGAGTTTGAAATTATTGTTTCCAGTAATTTGCCTACAATTGATGTCAAACTGATTGGACGGTGGTTAGTGATCTATCTCCCTTCTTGAAAATCGGTATTACATTCGCTATCCTCCTGGGTTCTGGTACTACACCCTTTTTTAACGACATCTTAAACAAATTTGCTATGTCCGTACTAAGCTCTTCCATACATTCCTTTAATCCTCTGGCAAATATCTTATCAGGACCTGGTGACTTATTATGCTTTAGCTTGTCTATTTGTTTACTACCATCGTTATTAGTCACTACCTTCTCTCTTAAACTATTTTCTTCTTTATCTCTGTATATAGTCGGCACCATCAGGGTCACTCAAAAAAACCATCAGAGTCACACAGTAACACAATCAAGGTCACTCAATATCACCATGAGGGTCACATAGTACACTTTCAGATTCACACACTAACACCTACAGTGAGACACAGTACCACGTTCAGGGTGTGTGAGTTACTAGCTCCAACCTGGTGAATCCATGTGTTAATCTCCTTTTCCTCCAGCAGGCCGAGATGACCACTACCCTGGGAATACGTACTGGAGTCACTGCCTCCACCATCACGCCTCAGCACTTAACGGCGGCCCTGCAGCAGAATGGTGGGGGGCGCATCACTCCCTCTGGTCTCCCACTAGACCAGAAGATTACCGTCAAGGTATGATATATATATATATATATATATAAAGGAAACCAGCTATATTAGGGTCTAAATAATAGAAACAGTTTATCAGAGACGAGCTTGAAGGACTCCTGATTAGCCAGTAAGTGTTGTGCGCCGCACGGCCAACACAACATATGTTATCTGCTTATATGTGAACTATCAACTATCGATAACTGATAGTCCATGTTATCATGATAACTTTTGGTAATACCAGACTGTTCATGTTAGTCCTTGATGGCTTTAGATAGTGTTCAGTGTTACGACTAAATACACTTATTGAAGTGGTTCCCCCATGACCTTTATCACAAGGATAAAAAATAGATTGGAATGGTTAATTAGTTGTTAAACACTGTGGTGGGATGTAATCCTAGACAAGGTTCTTCAAACTCCAGAGCACGAGCAGTAAATATATTCCATAAGTACAAGACTTGGCAGGATAACCAACAGGTACAAAACAGGAACAAGCAAAAGGGACTCCTTGTCGTAGCCAGGCCTGAGCCGATCTGAGAGAATTTAGCTAACTCGGCAGGGAGAGTTGCTAGACATTACTAGGACAATAAATGAGATCTTCTAGTTACTTGACAAGCGCGGTACAGACATGGTACATCGGGACATAGTAAGTAGACATAGGCATTAGACATAAGCATAGATATCGGACATGCTATAATAATATATAGTAATACAGACATGTGAATAAATGGTACAATGAATGGTAACAGAGTCTTGCCGTCAGGCGTGTTCACATATCTTGGTATTTACATATCTATACAAACACTAGTGTAGGTAATCCCTCTTCCGCTGTTGAAACAATAACGACGCCAAGCTTATTGTTCTTGAATCTATTGCATGATGTTGCTTCTATATTTTATGATTACATAAATTTGAGTAGGTAGACGTGATAGAATTACATTTAATAATTTATTCTTTGTCGTTATAATGATTTAAACTTAGCCGTAACTGGAATATTATTGTTCTTATTGAATTAATGAGGTGTCTGGTAAGAAGCAGAGACTAGTAACATCATCAAGCTGCTAAAACATTGCGGGATGTCAGTACGGTGCTTAATCCTGTTCGGTCCTGCTATTGTAGACGTCGTGTTACCAGACTATTTACCTAATTTCTCCTGACTTTTGCTCATTCAGGTTAATAATTAATTAGTGACAAATTTCAAAAGTAAAATATTAGCCAATTTTGCAATAGGATTTGTATGTAAATTCCTAGACACCCAAGAAACTAGGGGTCAAGAGCACAGCCACATGTGTGTTAGTCGTTCACGCACAACCACGATAAACAATAATTTCGATGGCGGTAGAAAATCTGTGTTGGACGGGAGCAAAGCCGCGGCCAGCAGGGAGAACTACCAGGCAATGGGCTGACTACCACTTCCACAAACTACGATCTTTTTCATACCTAATATTATTTTAATATATATAATTTCTTCGCACCTACCAATAAGAACACAAAAAAAAGACAGAAATACAAATAAGAAAGTATCAAAACGTTAGAAGTAATCCAGGATGTAGGCCTATAGGGCTGGGGGAAGTGCTGAGGCGGATCATCGGAAAATGCATAATGGAGGTGGTAAAGGATGATGTCAGGGCAGCAGCAGGAAACCTGAAAGTTTGTGCTGGCCACCAGGCTGGAGGTGAAGCTGCCATTCACACCATGAGAACGATATTTGAGCAGCGTGATTGTGAGGCCGTTCTCCTGGTGGACGCTTCAAACGCATTCAACATACTTAACCGCAAGGCCGCACTGCACAACATTAAGATCAAGTGTCCAAGTTTTACAATGTATGTTGAAAACACCTGTAGGAATCCGTCAGATCTCTATATAGTAAACAACAAGGCTCTAAGAGGTCAAGCAAGTGGCGTATGCTGACGACCTTACAGGAGCAGGAAAAGTGGAGGACATCAAAAAGTGGTGGGACCTGGTAACATAACGAAGTTCACAAATAGGGTACCATCCAAACTCCAGCAAGTCCTTATTCATTGTGAAGCCAGAACATTATGAACGGGCAATGGAAGTGTTCGGTGGAAGTGAGGTCAAAATAACAAATGATGGCCAAAGAAACCTAGGAGCAGTAATCAGCACGACTGACTTCAAGACCGAGTACGTAACCAGAAAGGTGAATGAGTGGGTTAGGGAAATCCAAGCTCGGTCTGATATTGCTAACACAGAGCCACATGCGGCTTTTGCGGCATTCACCCACGGAGTCAAGCATCGCTGGAACTACCTGATGCACACTATCCCTGATATTGGACCCCTCCTCCACCCTCTGGAAGAAGCTATCAGCATCAATTTCATTCCCAAATTAGTGAAATACCTTCATGTATCCGCAGCAGAAAGATCACTCCTTGCATTACCACCAAGACTGGGAGGAATGGGATTGACCAATCCTGAGGAGATTGCTGCCACGGAACATCAAAACTCAGTGAAACTCACAGCAGCCCTCACTGACCACAGAGTAGCTCAGAACGCATCAGGTGAGCTGGATACCAGTGAAGTAAACAAGATTCGAAAGTCCATTATGACAGAACGACAGCATGGCCAAAGTGATAAGTTGCAGCAACTGATGCTGCAAGTACCAGAGAATTTGAAGAAAAAATAGTAGCTATAGAGCAGGAGGTGGGCGCCTCGAACTGGTTAACTACGTTACTTATAAGGGCAAATAGTTTCAGTCTCAATAAACAAGAATTTACAGATGCCATTGCTCTAAGGTACGGTAGGCCAGTAGAAGGTTTGCCCTCCCAATGTATGTGTGGCTCTTCCTATGACGTCGATCACGCCATGGTGTGCAAGAAAGGGGCTTCATATGCATGAGGCATGACGAAGTACGGGATCTCACAGCAAATATGTTGAAGGAAATCTGTCGTGATGTTAGGGTAGAACCGTCCCTCCTTCCATTGGACGGTGAGAACTTCCAACATAGGACTTCAAACACATCCAACGAAGCCCGTGTTGACGTCAGTGCTCGAGGATTCTAGATGCTTGGACAGCCAGCCTTCTTCGTCATCAGGATTTTTTATCCCATGGCCGTATGCCAACGTAACTTAGCTCTCGATGCTGCACGCAGGAGGAACGAGAACAACAAGATAAGGGCACACGGGAGAAAATTCAAAATGTTGATCAAGGCAGCAAAATGCTTCTACGCCAGACTCACGGAGGTGCTATCTGAACAGAAGCAGCAGCCCAGAAGCTATGTTACAGCCTGGATGAGATGTCGACTGTCCTTCTCTCTCCTTAGGTCTGCTTTGCTCTGCCTCAGGGGAACGAGAGCATCAGCACGAAAGCCAACATCAGTTGCAGGTATTGACTATGAGGCAACAGTCACTGAATGTCGCATAGATCTGCGGCTCAACTAACTGAACACAGTTAGGATAGCTACTTATGTATTAGGATATTTAATTTTAAGGTAATAAAATGGCGGCAAAGGTGTGGCTATTGGGGGAGGATGGAGGCCCTCTTTAAATGTTCTCCTGGGAGAACACACTGCAAGTTCTCCTGTGAGGACATCTCTAAATGTTCTCCTGGGAGGACACACTACAAGTTCTTCTAGGAGGACACACTACAAGTTCTCCTAGGACGGCACACTACAAGTTCTTCTGGGGGGACACAATAACGGCCATTTTTTAAACACTCGGGTTACTTGTTTATATCCCGAAAGCGCCCTCCAATCCGTAATTCATTGTTTTGAACCAAATATACATGATTCGGTTCGGGTTACTATTTAGTAATTTGAAATTATTATTGGAGCATTCGGGATACGTCCTCATGTGTGGGTAGGCACCTGGAAGACTTATCCTGAATGTTCAATATATGTAAATTAAAACGAGATAATAAAGAAAACAAATATTTAAATGTCCTAAAACCGGCTCCAATGGAAATGTATATATTTTTAAGAGACCGCCGTGTACCCCCGTGGTGTTAACCTTTAACTCCGAAGCTTTTTCTTCTCGCCATCGTCCTTCTCACAAATTAATAAAATTATATATCTAGCATTGCAATTATCCTCTCGTAGCCTCAATTACAATAAATAACACCTTTTTTGTGATCGATAGATGTAATGTCGTTTCCGAATCGCTACAGTTTTATAAACAAAAGATCCAAGATTAGCCAAATGTGCCGGGCAGATTGTTGAGGTAATAGTTTACAGAGTGTCCCCTGTGACCCATGTTGATAATCACCTTGGAAAAATTTTCCATGCTATATTTAACTGTTTGGGTTGTTGTTCTGATGATGCTTACAGCAGGTGCTACCAGTGTTTGTTAGATTAGGTTAGGTTAGGTTAGGTTAGGTTACGCTAGGTTAGGTTACATAAAATATTTTTGGAAGAAATTTTCAAACCTAACCTATAATCATGGTTGGAAAAAAGTGTCATAATTGATTAGTGATAAGACACTCTTTTAAATATTGCCATAAATATCATCAGTGTAGAAAACCAAAAATATATAGAATTTAAATACAGATGACAAATGATGAAATTCACCTAAATCATCCTCCCCTTAAGTGTGCAATGTTGACTGTTCTGCCTACTGTTAGTCATAACACATTTCACAGTACTATTTTCTTTGTAAAAGTAGCTGCACTCCTCTTAGTGTCTTGTTCACGGTGGCAGGTGTGACACAGTCTAATGTGCTATAGGACTAGGCGTGTGTCTGTTTGTGTGTGTGTCTGTTCTGGGCAGCCGAAATGGCACAATCGTTTTTCATCAAACTTGGTGAAAAAATCGCAAAAAAATCGTAGAGTGGAACAAACCTGGTCCCATGTCGATGGTTTCTTTAGGAAGGCATTAATTGACAATTTTATTTACGATGGAAAACGATGCAAGTCTACCGACTTGGCGCACCCGAATTAACCATGCAAATCTACGGACTTGGCACACCGTCATTTGCTGTACGCTGTCACGAGCGTTCAAATTCTCCCGAGGGCACGAACGTGCCCGCGATCACTTGTTCTCTCTATAGACAGTATCATCTTGAAGAAGGTGGCCTGACTTTCGTGTAACTGGATCAACTTTTCCATGGTTATCCAAACGTGATCTACTAGCACATTTTTTTTTAACCTCCAGCAGATAATGGATAGGTTTTGAGTCTTAATGGAGAGATAGAGAGTAACCAATAATAAAATTAATTAATTACAAACATATATTCCCCCTGTACTTATAAAATTTTCAATGCATAATTATATATCTAAGAAAGGTATCGAGAAGAAATTAATTTACAAATGTGATGATTTGCACTGCATGGCGTCAACAAGCCGTGTGCATGCTCCAAGCTGGTGAAATTTGGCGGATTTTATGTTACCTGAAACATTTTCTGTGACATTATTAACTAAATATTCATCAAATTAATTAAATGTGTTCTTCCTTGCTAAATGGTTGCTAGATACAAAGGCAAAACATGTCATGAATGTTGCTACTAATAACGGAGATAACAAAAATCGCATCTTTTTTATTTAATAACAGATGGGTAGTGTACTTGTACGTACCTGTAGGGTCCCTGTTGATGGATTATGCCACTACTACCAGAAATTGCTTTACGATCTACTGGTAGATTGCGATCGACGTTTGCGCCATCCCCTGATTCTAGACATATAATACCCGTATACCCGTGCAGGTTAGTCGCTGGCACGTGGAGCATATACTTATTCTCATTTATGAAATGAAATAAAGTGTCGTCTATGAATCTTTAATAGCCACAACCCAGATTTTAAGGGGCTGGAACCCCTGTGCCTCCATATACGACGTTCCGACACAGAGTATCTCATACCCTCCTGTTAAACTGTTAGGAAGACCGTGCCCCGTCACTGCCTGCACATATATATATATATATATATATATATATATATATATATATATATATATATATATATATATATATATATATATACACACACACGAGACAAATTTCTGCATATAAATGCATAGGTAGACACACACATAACAACAAAGAACGAGTTTGTCACAAGAAAGTGAGAATTTTGATGTCGTCTTCAGCGTGTGATGAGGTCGTCTCCAGACTCTGATGATACGGGCAACACGGAGGAAGGCAGCGGTGAGTCGTGGCGGCGGGAGGACGACTACATGGTGAGCGACAAGTGTGAGAACAAGTATTACGGCGCCGTGCCAGTCTCCACCGGTCCTGCCAAGTGGTACGACAGGTGAGTCCCGTACACCAGCTGGTCTTATTATTGATTGTAATTGGTATAAAGTATTATAGCGAGAAATAAATAATGTATATTTAAAAAAAACCCCAGTAATCAGTGTGAGAGAGCATTACCATGGTACTCATGATATAAAATGACACTAAAGACATATGTACGGTAGTCTCACACTCACTGTTGTATCGTAGATACTGTACGCTCACCACACACAATCTTCAACATAATATAATGTTATTAAATCAGAGGTAATGATGCAGATCCAGATTCATGTACCTGTAGATTTACAGGTATACGTAGATATTTCTCACTTTAGAAATACCAGTACAAGTGCAGATATCTACAACGGTAAACATTGCATAGAGGTCACTTATTAGTACACACTTTTTTCACGCGCTCTTACATAAATAAAGTCATCGAGATTGTTCACCAATGACATTTTAGAGTTGATGCACTTTAATGTGACAAGGAGGTTACTCTTATAACTAGGATTCGTCACATTTCCAGTGAGAATCATTATCTCTGTAACCCCCAAAAAATTTGAACTACAGTTGTAAGTAAGACAGTTAAAATAACTTATTCAAAGAAAAATAACCGCAGTAATGATGAACAGTATGAGATAACTCAAGAACATTAAAAGTTGGTATTAGTATTTATATATGAGTAGAGAATGTTTTGATATCATTGGTATGTAAGGGAGATATGGTGATCCTTAACGGGGGTTTAACTGAAGGGTGTGTGTGTGTATGCGTGTGTCTGGCAGATACGTGGAGATGGTGCAGCGGACGTTCCCTAGGTTCTTCCCCTGGGTGGAAGAAGGCCCATGCACCGAGGAGACCGGCAGGCAGGTCATGAAGCTGGTTGGTGAGTAGCATTCCTCCTTTTTTTTTTTTTACAAATAAGTCTTGTGTCTATAGGAAGATAATAAGATATGACAAAGAAAAGTGATGGAGAGGAAGGAGAGACAGACCGAAAACGAAATAGCAGAGATATATGCAGACTTAAGGAGAGAGAGAGAGAGAGAGATAAAAGTAGAATTGAAGAGATAGAAGAAGGGAGATAGGCAAAAAGAGTCACTGAACAATACCTAATCATTTCTAGTGTATACAAATATTGTGTGTGTGTGTGTGTGTGTGTGTGTGTGTGTGTGTGTGTGTGTGTGTGTGTGTGTGTGTGTGTGTGTGTGTGTGTGTGTGTGTGTGTGTGTGTGTGTATGTGTGTGTGTGTGTGTGTGTGGTGCTTTAACTGACTGGCAGAATAACCCTCAGTCTCGGACTAAAACTGATACCTTCCACAAGAAGAAAGCAGCGGCCCAGCGCGAACTTCACAATCTAAAGTACGACTGGTTTAAAATTAAAGCATGTGAAATGCAAAAACTTGCAGATCAACACAAGATGTGTGAATTTTTAAATTCCTATTAAAATATTTTACGGGCCAATCACTTATTGCGCAGCCCCCTCCGCTCATCCGACGTTAACTCCATAATTAAAGATGATGAAGGAATCTTTTAGTGCTGGAAACAGCACTACCATTCGCTGCTCACTCGAAACACTGATGTGGAAGTCCTGGATACCCAGCAGGTCCCTCAGCATCCAGAGCTGACACACCTCAGCTATCCTCCATCCCTAGACTAGGTAGCTACTGCCATCAAACAGATGAAAAATAACAAGGTCCTCAGGGCCTGATGGAATCTCAGCCGAGGTGTATAAAGCAGGAGGACCTCTGCTTACCAGCCGTCTCCACTCTCTCCTGGAGAATATATGGGAAAAGGAGGAAATCCCCCAAGCACTTAAAGACGCCTCCATCGGCAATATTTATGAGAACAAGGGAGACCGGTCAGATTGTGGCAACTATCGCCTGCGGGATCTCACTGTTGTCCGTAGTCGGCAAGATTATCTCCCAAGTCCTCCTAAACAGACTTCTTCCTGAGGTGGAAAACTTCCTCCCAGAATCTCAGTGTGGCTTTAGACTATCACGTGACCTTTGCTGACTGCCAGTTAAAGGAAAAGTGCAGAGAACAACGTCATGACCTGTATATGGCATTCATCGACCTAACCAAGGCCTTCAACTCTGGCAGACCCTCAGCTGTTTTGGCTGCCCACCAAAATTCATCTTCATTGTGAGGCGACTCCACGACGCCATGAACGGCAGTCCTACACAATAGCACCTAGTTGGAGTTTTTCCCCATTCAAACGACGGTAAAACAAGGATGTGTACTAGCACCGACTTTTCTTCCCATTTTCTTGGCTCCCTTCCTTACTCATACCAGAGCCAATTTAGCCAGCGGGGTGGACATCCAGTACTGGATGAAGGGTCTTTTCAGCATAAGACGACTCAGACAGAAACAAAGGTGTCCACAGGTTCCATTACTGAATTTCAGTAGGCAGTCGACCGCACCCTTGTTGCTAACACGAAACGCGACCTACAGGAGATCCTGAACACCTACACAGACGCGTAAGCACACTTCGGCCTCGAGGTGAATGTACGTAAGACTCAGATTCTCTTTCAGCTTTCCCCTGATTCAGCCACACCTCCACCATCCATCCAGCTTAACGGTACTATGCTCCCACCTGTCCACCACCGCGGACATCGATGAAGAGATTCAACATCAGATCAGATGTGCATCTCAAGCCTTTGGCAGACTCCGTACCCATATCTTCAGCTGTGGTGAGCTGAAATTATCTACAAAGTTGCACGTATATCGAGCAGTGGTCCCCCCACCCTGTTATATGGCAGCGAGACATGGGTCAACATGAGGGGGCACCTCAAGACACTTGAAAACTTTCACCAACTTGGTTTACGTTCCATCCTCCGAGTTCGCTGAGAAGACAAGACAACAAATGCCAGTATTCTCGCTGACACCAACTGAAGGAGCATCGAGGCTACCATTATCCTTGAACAACTACTTTACCCGCATGGACTATAGTAGACTGCCAAAGCAGCTACTTTACAGTCACCTGACGAATAGTAAATGTAACTCTTGCGGGCAACTCAAAATAAATAAGAATAGTCTTAAAACAAACCTGACAAAGTGCCAATTCGACCCTTCACCTGGGAGACAATTACTCCATACTGTAACGTTTGGAGGAGCAACATACGAGGTGTCAATACTTTCGAGCTAGCCTGACTGCAAACCGAGGCAAACATGCGCCATCGTCTGAAAGATGCTGCCACCGCCCCTACCGCACTAGATGTAGCCCTTCACATGTGAAACATATGTGGACGACTCTGCTGGTACCGTATCGGTCTCTCTAGTCTCCTCAGAACTCAGCAACGAAGGTGAAATCTTTAATAACTCATATCGTCTTATCATAGCTGGATGATCGTCATACTCGATTCCGAGTGACAGCAAAGTAGTAGCAGTCGTAGTTGTAGTGTGTGTGTGTGTGTGTGTGTGTGTGTGTGTCTGTGTGTGTGTGTGTGTGTGTGTGTGTGTTTGTGTGCACAGTGGTGTAATGCATCTAGTGTGGCAGCATTATGTTTGTTTATTGGTGCAAGCATGGCTTGATTCCTCTCGCTTTCAGCTACTGCCGCTGGCTAAGAGTCTTCCCCTGCCAGTACATAGCCTCTTAACCATCAAAACTCCTGCTGTGCCTCCTTGTGGTAACACACAGTAACTGGGTGCCTCGCAATCCCAGGTTAGACCAGCAGGGGAACTCGGAGCGGCAGTGGATCCCAGAAGGACGGCACGTAGGCTCACCGGCATGTGGACACGTCCTGGCGCCTACCAACCACTGCCCTGCTGCCTTGTGGATTAATCTTGTTAGGTATAAGGCTATGGGAGTAAACCCTGAAAAAAAATCTGGGGTGGAGCTCCGCATCAGGCAGACATACTTACATAGTTCCAGTAAGACCCTAACAGCAGAATAGGTGGAAGAGGTGACCAACACGGGAATCGTACGACTACTAAGGCCAAACCAAACATACTAGGCTATCGGCGGCCCATTCCTACTCTCCCTCTCCCAGTCATTGCAGCTACCTGCACCACAGGATCAGGAAAAGGGGGAGTGATGATGTGTGGTTGCAGCCTCTGCTCTTGCCTCACCACAAAAATCAATTCACGTGCAACCATTATCCAGTTCATCATTTTTCGTCATCATCAAAACCCCTAAACCCCCAAAAGTCCTCTGGCAACAGACAAGTGGCGATAGCGACAGGCAGAGATGACTGCCGGGAGTCTTTAGTCACAACTCAGCACATGGGCTGTGCAGATAAGATGGTCGTTTATGCACTGAGATCTAGGCAACAGTGCAATCCGTTCCTGTCTGTGCAACTGAGCAGCCATATTGAGGAGCCACTCTGCTCACCCTACATGCCGAGGCGGTTAGAAAAGGTGCTATAAACACAGCCTGCAAAAAAAATAAAAATAAAAACATGACTGGGCAACCCCACTCAGTAAGTCATCTTAATGTTGTCGAAAACATAATCATAATCACAGATCAAAACAAAACAAATCATACAAGCTCTTAAGGTCGCTACATGGAATGCCAAGACCCTTCTGGATACTGGCACAAATGAGTGTCCTGAAAGAAGAACCACCCCTGTGGCAAAAGAGTGCTCTAGGTATAACATGGACATAGTAACCATTCGTGAGTCCCGGCTCCTAGACGAGGGTCTACTCACAGAACTGGGGTCCAGCTATACCTTCTTCTAGAAGGGTAAGCCTACTGAGCAAAGAAACCGCATTTATGGAGTTGGATTTGCCATTCGCCAATACATTCTACATAGGCTTACTGAAATGCCTTCTTCATCAGTGTATACTCACCAACACTGGATGCAGGGGATGACATGAAGGAGGCCTTTTACGCCGACCTTAACAGAGTGCTAACCTCAATCCCCAGAGAAAATATGGTTGTGCTCCTAGGTGACTTCAATGCCAGAGTTGGCAGAGATGCTGACTTAAGACAGGGAACCAGGCAACAAGCCTCCAGCAGTGGCCTTAACGCCAGGTGACTGGAGGATCAAGTGGGAGTACAATAAATGCTTTCAGGGATCAACTCCACAATTCATTGAAAAAACCCAACATCAAACAACCTAAATCTGAGTTCCAAATGGGGTATCCCCGATGCTGTCATCACAAAAACTTGCAGTGAGACTCTCGGTGAGATGGAAATAAAACACCGGGGTTGGTTTGATGAAAATAATCAGGAAATCAATGTACTCCTCAATGGTAAATGTGCTGCTCTGACTGACTGGCAGAACAACCCTCAGTCTCGGACCAGAAGAAATCGGCGACCCAGCGCGAACTTCACAAACTACTGAGAGAATGGTGCAAAAATATAGTGTGTGAAATGCAAAAATTTCCTGATCAACACAAGATGCGTGAATTTTTAATCCCACTAAAATAATATGCAGCCCAACTACTCATGCCATGATCTCCCACCCTCTCCTCTTCCAATGGTAACTCCCTCATTAAAGACGAAGAAGGCATCAGTCACTCGAAACACAGATGTGGATGTTCTGACTACTCACTTTGAATACCTTGGCTCCTACCTGTCTACCGCCATGGACATCAATGAAAAGATTCAATATCGGATTAGATGTGCATATCAAGCATTTGTCAGACTCCGTATCAATGTCTTCAGCTGTAGAGAGCTCAGATTATTATCTACAAATTTGCACGTATATTTATCAATCAGTGGTCCTCCCCACCCTGCTGCATGGCAGCGAGACATGGGTCACATACAGGAGGCACCACAAGGCACTTGTGAACTTTCACCAATATAGTCTATGTTCGCTGGGAAGACAAGAGAATAAATGCCAGTATTCTCTGTGATACCAACTGTAGGAGCGTCGAGGCTAAAATTATCTATGAACAACTATGCTGGACTGGCCATGTTACCCGCATGGACGACAGTAGACTGCTCAAGTAGCAACTTTACAGTCACCTACCGAATGGTAAATGCAATTGTGGCGGACAACGGAAAAGGTAAAAGGATATGTCTTTAGAAAAACCTGAAAAAGTGCCAAATCGACTCCCCACCTGCGAGACTTTCCCTCCACACCGTAACTCTTGAAGGAGCACCACACGACAAGGTGTTAATACTTTCGATTTTGCCCAACTGCATATCAAGGCAGATAAACGCCAACGTCGGACGGACGCTGCCGCCGCCACCCCTCCGACACTAGATGTAGCCCTCCACAAGTGCTTCATCCGAAGACGGCCATACTGGTCTCGTATCGGTCTCTTTAGTCACGTAAGAGCTCCTCAACGAAGGTGACATCCTTAATAACTCTTATCATTGTATCATAGCTTGATGATCGGCATACTCGATTCCGAGAGTCAGCAAAATGGTGTGTCTGTCTGTCTGTCTGTCTGTCTGTCTGTCTGTCTGTCTGTCTGTCTGTCATTTGTGATCTTGAACAGGTGATAAAGGAGATACAAAGAGCAGATGTACAAACAGACAGTTGAACAGGTATAGAAGAGTTTAAGGAGCAGGAATAGGGGGGTACGGTGCAAGTAGAACAAGAATTAAACACGTGTGAGAGAAAATAAATGTAAGTCAAAAGTAAGGATCATGAATAAAGAACATATAGAAAGAACAAGAATAATGAAGGTGTAAAAGAAGCAAGAACAGTACATTTTGAGTAAAGATGGTAAGTAACGAGCAAAGATAAGAAGAATGTGTAGTAATCAGTAATAAGGAGGGAGTGTCAGGTGAATGTGTAAGAAGAAAAATAAGAAACATTTAAGAAAGTAACAAGGGACAGTAAGTACTAGGTGAACGAGAGAATCTAATGAAATTTAGCAGTCTAATAAAGATAATAACAAAGTGGAAAAGCAAACATCAAGAATATGCTTAAAGGAGTAGTTTTATTATCGTAGTAGTAGTTGAGGGCTTAAGAGAGAAAAGTAAAGATCAGAAGTAAAGCTCGGGAGTAAGCGGGTGTGTGGATGACGAGTAGGTAAGAGTAGGTAATGAATAAGGAGGGGGGTAAGAATATTAACTATAGCAAGAGTAATGATATGGAATAAGTGTGAGGAATAGCGAGGTACAAAAGTCGAGAAGAGAGAAGGAGGAGTAAAAGTTGTAATCCTGCAGGGTTGTTGTACCTCAACGTTCTGATCTTCGACCTCGTCCTGGTGTTCAGCCTGGGCGAGTTGGAGGTCCACTCCCCCGCCGCCTCCCTCTTCAGTATAATGCTCTTCCTCACCATACTGCTCATCCTCCTCCAGATCTCCCGCAAGCCACAGAACAGGTACTTCCACGTTCCTCAGCATACTGTTCTTCCCTATTCAGCATGATGCTTTTCGTATCAGCATAGTCTGCTTGGTTTCCTACTATACCACAAGCTCAGTCTGTCTTGCTGCCATTATATTTACTGGATAAACTAGATTGTCTAAATGTAAACAAAAAACAATTACTAGATAATAAATGAGCTTTGCTCGACAATCAACAACGTCTCTTAAATAGGTAGACACGCCGGCTCCCAGTACAACCTTATGTTAGTAAGATAGTCTACTAACCTATTGAGTACGGTGTTGCCTCTGAGCTTAATGAAGTTATCTGGCGATACCCCCCCCCCCCAAAAAAAAGTGGCGTCCCTATAGTGAAGGGGCTAACGGTGAGTTGGTCCACATCGTTCAATACATTCACAACCAAGTAAACGATTCAATAGCTACACACCTTATTTCCTTCCATGGGGAAATTCTTCAGTCATGTATAATGGTACCTTAGGGGCCCAGCAATAAGTGTATTAGGAAGCAGGGTAGGGCGCTCTCACAGCACCCAGTATAACATTAACGATCATAAAGCGGCAAACTTAAGACTGGGAAATGTAGTGTCGACTGGTCAATTTTTCTCAGGTTCCTTTATCCGTTTCTATTAATAATAATTTTCTTTGTATATTTTAGAAAATATTTTTTATCTGTCACTGTCTGTATGCCTGTCTGGCCTACACCATCAACACCGCTGACAACGAAAACTGTCTCGGGTACTCGAAGGATAAACCTCGTCCTCATAGACCAATCTTTTCCTTCTCCCAATCACTGGTACTCAAGAGAGACCTGGAGAAAACACAACATTCATCAGTATACAACGTACGAGTACACAACGTGTGGCCAACTATCCTGATACATTAATAATCTTACAGAGTGAGTGCCATGATAAGTATTCCGGTTATAATTTTTGCAAACTTCCCCAGTGAATGGCATCTTGTTTATCGATCAGCTTGTTCCTACATTACTGTACGTCACTCCTCGCTCAACTACTTATAATTAACATGTTATGTGCGGTACCAATGACCATGATGATCCACCTATCTTTGTGGATTTTACTGGTAAGTGTAGGTACCGTAGGAAGCAGTTAAGACCCGAACTAACTTAGAAACAAGGAATAGAGGAATAGAATTTTATAACCAAATGTTATTTTGAAATTTGTATTGGGTGCGTCATTGTGTAGTGGACACACGATATATTTCTAGCTGTCTCCGTGTTACAGTTAACACTGATATACTGACTCTGTTATAACCAACACAGCTATACTGACTGTTACAACCAACACTGCAATACTGACTCTGTTACAAGTTACAACCAACAACCAACACTGATATACTGACTGTCTTTCTGCCTGTGTATTCAACATTGTGAGCACAAGAACTCAAACGAATAAGAAGGAAATTTTATGCAAACCTAACATTTCGACAAAACACAAAATTTTTTCGTACATTGGTCGATATTCCTAGTTTAACATTCATATTTTCGAGAGTTTTCGCTCCCGAGGCTTATATGGTGTGCATGGTGAGGAATATGTTCATCTCTAGTGGCAGTCACTTGTTATTGTACATTATGTTATGAGTGCCAATGAAAACTGGGGGCAATACATGTCTGTAGGCTTTGTCTTTCAGAAGAATCGAGTCTTTAGATTATGGAGTCAATTTATTCTATATTGTTCAAGGAATTCCGCTATGACTTGACTGATTTGTTGCTCATAGGATGAAGACGATTAAGTAATTTACTTTCTCACTTAAAATCAAGAAGCAACTACTGAAAACAATGATGACATTCTAGTGAAATTTGATTCGTAACAAACTGAGTAATATTCGCAACTACTAAAAAAATTAAACACATGATAAATAATCATTTCTCTAAAAATTATATTCAACTTCCGCGATACAAAAATCTTTTCAGAAACAATGGCGATATTATTTTGAAAAGTTTTGTTAAATTACATAAACAAGAAAATTCAAATTCAAATTCTGAAGTACTATCACAAAATTATTTTGTTCTCTGTAATAACCAACACTGCTCTACTGACTGTAACAACCAACATTACCATACTGACTCTTTAATAACCAACACTGCTCTACTGACTGTAACAACCAACATTACCATACTGACTCTTTAATAACCAACACTGCTCTACTGACTGTAACAACCAACATTACCATACTGACTCTTTAATAACCAACACTGCTCTACTGACTGTAACAACCAACATTACCATACTGACTCTTTAATAACCAACACTGCTCTACTGACTGTAACAACCAACATTACCATACTGACTCTTTAATAACCAACACTGCTCTACTGACTGTAACAACGAACATTACCATACTGACTCTTTAATAACCAACACTGCTCTACTGACTGTAACAACCAACATTACCATACTGACTCTTTAATAACCAACACTGCTATACTGACTGTAACAACCAACATTACCATACTGACTCTTTAATAACCAACACTGCTCTACTGACTGTAACAACCAACATTACCATACTGACTCTTTAATAACCAACACTGCTCTACTGACTGTAACAACCAACATTACCATACTGACTCTTTAATAACCAACACTGCTCTACTGACTGTAACAACCAACATTACCATACTGACTCTTTAATAACCAACACTGCTCTACTGACTGTAACAACCAACATTACCATACTGACTCTTTAATAACCAACACTGCTCTACTGACTGTAACAACCAACATTACCATACTGACTCTTTAATAACCAACACTGCTCTACTGACTGTAACAACCAACATTACCATACTGACTCTTTAATAACCAACACTGCTCTACTGACTGTAACAACCAACATTACCATACTGACAATAACCAACACTGCTCTACTGACTGTAACAACGCCAACACTGACTCTACTGACTAACCAACATTGACTCAATACTGCTCTACTCTTGTAACCAACACTGCTTACCATACTGACTGTAATAACCAACACTAACTGCTGTATTACCATACTGACTCTTAAATAACCAACAACAACGAACATTACCATACTGACTCTTTAATAACCAACACTGCTCTACTGACTGTAACAACCAACATTACCATACTGACTCTTTAATAACCAACACTGCTCTACTGACTGTAACAACCAACATTACCATACTGACTCTTTAATAACCAACACTGCTCTACTGACTGTAACAACCAACATTACCATACTGACTCTTTAATAACCAACACTGCTCTACTGACTCTAACAACCAACATTACCATACTGACTCTTAAATAACCAACACTGCTATACTGACTGTAACAACCAACATTACCATACTGACTCTTTAATAACCAACACTGCTCTACTGACTGTAACAACCAACATTACCATACTGACTCTTTAATAACCAACACTGCTCTACTGACTGTAACAACCAACATTACCATAATGGCTTTGTAATAACCAACACTGCTCTACTGACTGTAACAACCAACATTACCATACTGACTCTTTAATAACCAACACTGCTCTACTGACTGTAACAACCAACATTACCATACTGACTCTTTAATAACCAACACTGCTCCACTGACTGTAACAACCAACATTACCATACTGACTCTTAAATAACCAACACTGCTCTACTGACTGTAACAACCAACATTACCATACTGACTCTTTAATAACCAACACTGCTCTACTGACTGTAACAACCAACATTACCATACTGACTCTTTAATAACCAACACTGCTCTACTGACTGTAACAACCAACATTACCATACTGACTCTTTAATAACCAACACTGCTCTACTGACTGTAACAACCAACATTACCATACTGACTCTTTAATAATCAACACTGCTCTACTGACTGTAACAACGAACATTACCATACTGACTCTTTAATAACCAACACTGCTCTACTGACTGTAACAACCAACATTACCATACTGACTCTTTAATAACCAACACTGCTATACTGACTGTAACAACCAACATTACCATACTGACTCTTTAATAATCAACACTGCTCTACTGACTGTAACAACGAACATTACCATACTGACTCTTTAATAACCAACACTGCTCTACTGACTGTAACAACCAACATTACCATACTGACTCTTTAATAACCAACACTGCTATACTGACTGTAACAACCAACATTACCATACTGACTCTTTAATAACCAACACTGCTCTACTGACTGTAACAACCAACATTACCATACTGACTCTTTAATAACCAACACTGCTCTACTGACTCTAACAACCAACATTACCATACTGACTCTTAAATAACCAACACTGCTATACTGACTGTAACAACCAACATTACCATACTGACTCTTTAATAACCAACACTGCTCTACTGACTGTAACAACCAACATTACCATACTGACTCTTGAATAACCAACACTGCTCTACTGACTGTAACAACCAACATTACCATAATGGCTTTGTAATAACCAACACTGCTCTACTGACTGTAACAACCAACATTACCATACTGACTCTTTAATAACCAACACTGCTCTACTGACTGTAACAACCAACATTACCATACTGACTCTTTAATAACCAACACTGCTCCACTGACTGTAACAACCAACATTACCATACTGACTCTTAAATAACCAACACTGCTCTACTGACTGTAACAACCAACATTACCATACTGACTCTTAAATAACCAACACTGCTCTACTGACTGTAACAACCAACGTTACCATACTAACTCTTAAATAACCAACACTGCTCTACTGACTGTAACAACGAACATTACCATACTGACTCTTTAATAACCAACACTGCTCTACTGACTGTAACAACCAACATTACCATACTGACTCTTTAATAACCAACACTGCTCTACTGACTGTAACAACCAACATTACCATACTGACTTTGTAATAACCAACACTGCTCTACTGACTGTAACAACCAACATTACCATACTGACTCTTTAATAACCAACACTGCTCTACTGACTGTAACA